ATTTCTCATCTGGCAACGCTAGTTACATTTCAAGCTACAGCCAGGAAATGGTTAGCTTAGCTAAAAAGACTAGAAACAGCTAGCCTGGCTCCCCAAAGTTCAAAAACACACCTACCAGCACCTCTAAAGTAAGCTAATTCACACCCTATATCTTGTAAAACTCCCCATAAAGCCGTGGCAGCTTTTCTCTCCTAGATTTTTGTGTGGATTAAACAAACCAGATGTAAAATGTGTAAATACCTATGCCAAGCATTTACTGCTCCATAACCTAAATCCCTTCCTCGATACAAACCTATATAATATGCCATACTTTGGAAGATTTTTTCTCATATCTTGCTGTCGTTGTGAGGACATTGGTCCTCACAGAAATAGAAGTGTAAGAAACCCTCTTACACACATTTCATGTCTTCATTATGCCACGTGTGAGTCGAGGGTCCCCTGTGACTCACAGTATGGGGGTATGTCACAGGAGATTAAAATAGGCAACAGATAAAGGGAAGTGTGGTGTGTATGAGTAACGAGGATAAAGGGTAAGAATGGATAAAAGCCGATCTCAGAATAAGAGTCGCACAGAGCAGACTTAGGAAGAAACAAGAAATAAAAAAGAGGAAGGGGAGGTAGAAACAAAATAGATCCCATAGATGCACCTCTCTTTTTTGCCTCATGCTGTGAGCTGCTGTTCACTGTTAACAGCAGACTGATTAACTTGGAAGACTGGATTCCCACCACCCCAGCAGCAAGCCAGCCAGAATATGAAATAGGACTTCCTGTGAAAGATTTCAAAATAAAACATTAAACACAAGTGCTTTTTGCAAAATTCATTTCAGACAAACCATCTAAAATCACTCTGATATATTTTCTGGTTATTCATGTTTTCCCTGGACACTCTAGTTGTAAAGTAGTTGCTACTGTCTATATTTAAACGTGAAAGCAAATCCTGCTCAGGAGAGATGTGATCAGGGTTTGAGTGATTGGCTATGTGAGCCATTGGTATTGATCTGTTCTTAAAACCCAGATAAGCTTATCTTGAAGCCAGTGTTGTCCACCTCTGATTGTAATGATTCATTTGTTTCAACAGAAATTGATTGGAGAATTGATCGATGCCAGTTGTCTATGAGAAGCCTTTCAGTTGATGCTAATGTGACATTTTGATCCGATTCTACACACAAAAGCATGAGTGCTCACCATCATTATCATGTCTTCTTCCTTCTTGTGCCTCTCATTATTCTAAATTTGGGATTGACATAAGAAGCTTAGTGTCAAAGTGAATGACTTTTGTTTGCATGCAAATAGTCATAATAGGGCTAGTGTGTTGGTAATTTGCTCCACTTTGGTCAAACGTACTGCACAGAGGACCGATAGTGACTTTGAAAATGAATGATGGATGGATGGATGGATGGATGGATGGAAAAGATGAATAAATGGTAAAATATGTTAGGCAATCAATAACATGGTACATGACAAACTGATAATAGTACAAGAACAGACGAAGAAATGAGGAAATAGATCACTAAAATGACCAGAGGAAAAAAATCGATAGATAAATTCACACACTATGTGATCAGGGCTGATAGCAAGATGCCAGGATCCACTTGGGTTTTGGACATATTGAAAAAGCGGTAAAAAGGAAACCCTACCTGGACCAGGTTAGACTAGTCACCTTTTATCAAACACACTTTGCGTAATCCAGTTGAAATGCATGTACATTTTTAAGTGTGTGAAGATACAATTCTCACTAAAGCATATGTCATGCAAGAACACCAACAAAAACAAATGGAAAAGTCAGAGTTGTCATATTGACATTTAAGGTGTGCTGATTGATTCATAACATCAACTCAAGTACTGAGTAATGTGCAAGAAAACATTCTATTTTAAAAGTTCCCCGAGAGCTGCTGGTAGCCTTAGAGAAGCAGTGAATGAAATTATGTGCATGCATACAGCATGAAATATGCATCACTCTTCTGAGGGTTCATTTATTTGCATTAATTATAATGATGAAGAAGCCCATCTGACATCACCCACTTGGAAGTGGTTGGGGGCGATTTCGCCTGACTCTGGAGATGGTCTATCTTAGGTGTGACTCTGCACAACTTGGCGTGTTTAAACTGATAATGGAAACGCAACAAGGTTTGGCTCCACATACTCTAAAGTACCAATGAAAAAGCCCTATAACCTCCTAGACCCCCTGTCCTCGTATATGGACATCACATTTTGGGTTTACTTGACCTTATACTTCATTCTACTTAACTTAGACCTGTCCTCATTCATGGACACTTTTTTTGTGCCATCTAGTGATAGTAAGAGCACAATACAGTAAACCATATAAAAACAAGATGGCAGCCATCTCTGCCAAGTCAGTCTGCAGCTGATCCCAACACAAAAGTGAACAAGGTCCAGAACTTGATCAAATGTTATGGTTAAAACTTGTTTATCTATGATTAGTAATGTTTGTAGTTCAATACAGCAACAAATTTGATCTATTTTAACAACAGTAATAAGCTAAGACGCTGTTGATTAGGAAGTATTCATTTGAGGACATTGGGATTTAATTATTGTTGACAATGTGTAGTTTATCATACTTATCGGGTCCTACTGATCCCAAATAGCTAGGAGGAATTAAAAATGCATACTACACAAAAGTTCGGGTCTCAGGAAGATAAATATAGTTTGGATAGCTTCCGACTCCTTTACTCGGAACTATGAAGACCTCTACTGTTGGGTCCCACCTATTGACCCTAACTACCTTTATCTCTTGCCAGTCTTTTTTGTTGTCAGCCATTACTCACCGGTAGCCTTTACTTTTCCCCAGCAGTTAGCCAGCACCTCCAACTCTGCAATCTGAACCCCTCTACACCCTGCTGATCTTCATCTATCTTTACCTTCCTCAGCCTCTTGTCCCCTAACCCTCCAGTGCTTTACAAATAATGACTTTTTAAACCAGTCCTATGTGTCTCCCTGTGTTTGTGTCTGGGTCATAGACTGCATATATTAAGATGGACGACATTACAGCTTCCCAAAAGTGAAGCCAAAACATCTCGATCGCCCCCTGGTGGCTGGCTGCAGTACAGGTTGTAAACCTCACCCACTCTATGATAGCAGATAGGACATGGGACAAACTAAATGTACTCATCAAATCAATTCATTTAATGATTTTTTTGTCATATTAAGTACTTCTTATCACACTGATGTAGGTCCAAGTGTTTCTGATAAGTTTGGCTCCAAATGAGGTCACCAGCGCAGGATGGCCGCGGCTGTATCCAGAATATTTTGGCTTCATTTTTGTACCATGGGTGATACAAAGTCCATCTGACTATGCATACTACTCAAACATGCTATATGGGGCACAGAAGATAGGGCGGGTTGTCCACCAATCGGAAGATTGATTATTCGATCCACAGCTCCTCCTGAATATCGAAGTATCCTTGGGCAAGATATTGAACCCCAAATTGCTCCTGTTGTAAATATAGTGTAAAAGCACTTTGAGTGGTTAGAAGACTAGAAAAGAGCTATACAAGTGATCGGACTACTTTTGAACATAAAAGGTTTATATGACAATAAATGAGTTACTGCTTCAAGCGAGGGAGTTCAAGTATCTCGGGGTCTTGTTCACGAGTGAGGATAAAATGGAGTGTGAGATGGTGTGGCGGTTTGGTGTGGCTTCTGCAGTGATGTGGCCGCTGTGCCAGTCTGTGAAGACGGAACAGAGCAGGAAGGCGAAGCTTTCGAATTACTGGTCCATCTACATCCCAACCCTCAACTATGGTTGTGAGCTCTGGGTAGTGACCTAAAGAATAAGATCGCAGATACAAGCGGCCGAAATGAGTTTCTTCCGTGAGGTGGCTGGGCTCAGTCTTAGAGGTAGAGTGAGGAGCTCGGACATCTGGAGGGAGCTCGGAGTAGAGCCGTTGCTCCTTCGTGTCGAAAGGGGTCAGTTGAGGTGGTTCTGGTATCTGATCAGGATACTGCCTGGGTGCCTCCCACTGGAGATGGAGTGGGCATGTCCCACTGGTAGGAGGCCCCGGGGCAAACCCAGAACATGCTGGTGGGATTACATATTTCATCTGGCCTGGAATGCTTTGCTTGGCCTGCTGTCCCCACAACCTGGCCCCGGGTGAGTGGATGAAAATGGATGACACTAATTTGATGTGCTTGGTTGGAATCATTTGAGCATTTTTTTAAAAAAAAAATCTGTACTGCAAACCATATTAAAAAAGGAGGATCCTGCTGAAAGAAAAATGAATCCACATGAGACACGTTCCATCATATATCTGTATATTTTATCTTTTAGTTTCTTAATGTATTTACCAATAAAATAATTTCTTCAGTGCATTTATTCACTCCTGTGTAAGACAGCAGCAGGCACACAGCCTGACTTGCAATTAAAGATCTCTGGATAACCAGTGTCCTGCAGGGTTTTTTTCTGTGATCCTTTGTGCTAACATTTGCAGTGCACAGTGACATCAGCCACCTTGTCTTTGGTTATTTAATGTTTTCATCTGTTATTTTATATTCTCTGTCAGGCTTTTATTGTGAAGGCAGGAATAGCTGAGTCTCTGTGTGGCTGCAGCTGCGGGCTTTACGCATCTCTGTCTCTCTCCTCTGCCTCCCTCTACCTCTCTCTACCCGCCGTCACCCAGCGCTGTGCCGATGCCTCGTTAAACCCGGAGCCGCCGCCAGGAAGGATGAGCCTGCCCGGTTACCGGAGACAAAACCACATCTGAGAAAAAAAAAAGAAGAGAAAAAATTAAAAAGAAAAACCGGATTTTTTTTTAAGAAGGCAGTTTTTGATGGAAGACAGAGTGGAAGGAGACCAACTCAGTGAGAGGATTGCATCCCCAGTGTGTGCAAGTGTGTGAGTGTGTCAGTCAGAGTGTGTGTGTGTATGTGTGTGTGTGTGTGTGTGTGTGTGCCTCGGACTCCCCGCTCAGTGATGTAAAACGTGAAGGTGGATTTTTTGGCATGTGGAGGAGCAGGTAAAAGGTAAGACTCATGACACTCCGCTGAGCACTGAACAGCTCTCACACTCCAGTTTGGAGCTCTGTTGGCTCCAATCTGTTGGCTCCAATCTGTTGCCAGGATGAATGAAAATCTTTTCCTTGCACGACTCAGTAGCTAATAACTGACTGTTAACTCGCAGGAAAAAAGATATTGACACTTGGTTTCATCAGCAGGCTGTAGGCGTAGTCCCTATCTGGGCACGAGGTGTGAGCATTTTGGGGTTGGATGCAAGTAATTTAATAAATAAATAAACAAACAAGAGAAGTGATGAGGAGCCCATGACGTCTGGGATGAATGGGGATGGAGATAAAAGCTCAAGCCTCAGTTTGGGAGTGATGTAGGTGTTGAGGGGAGAAGAATGTGGTGCATTCAGTGTGTGAGTTTGGGTGGATGACGACACTTGCCTCCCTCCAGCATTGTGGGTTGAAAAGGGAGTCAATTAAGTGATGTTACATGTAAAAAAAAAAAAAAAAAAAAAATGTGTCAATGGTGTGGTGTCGCCTGTGGATGGGACTGTAGTTTTTTTTCTTCCACTGATGCAGCAAAGAGATTGTATCTGTGCCCTGGACGACATGATGACACCAACACACTTCACAAGGTGGATAAAACCCTCCCCGAGCTGCACAGCGGGGGATGACACATGCACTGTATGAAGTTGGCGGCTGGTGCTCTGCTGTGAGTCAAAGTGGCCCTGCAGCAGAGGAACACAGTCCTTTTTTGTACCCCCCAGAGTGGACCAGGATCTCTAAAAGCCTGCGGGGGTGAGATATAGTGTAGATATATTCTTTCATGCGGATGAGTGCCTGAGAAAAAAAAAAAGAACCTTACTTTACACACTTCTATCCTGACCTTAAGTATGAGAAATAGGACTGAATTATAAATGAGTTATGCTCCAGCCAAGGGATTCAGCTACTGTCTCTTGTCTGACTTCAGCAGGCATTAATTGAGTATGGCATGCCTAAGGTAATTAAATCTGCTTGTTCTTATCTTTCTAACGGGGAGCAAAGTTCAGGGGGAAATTGCCAGATATGCATCTGTAAACCATATCTAAAAATAAAAAAAGGGGGCGTTCAGGAACAACAGTTTGTTGAGCTGTGTCAAATAATTCATCACCAGATTTCTACATCTTGTGCCCATGAATATGGAATATCAAAGTAAGTTTTCTCATGACAAATGGATTCAGGCGCGGGGACTTCGCCGTACGTCAGGGTTTTTCGACAACTGCCGCCCCTGCTGTCTCTAAGCAAGAGGGATGCTAATGGAGGAGAGAGAGGATACAGGCGTTACCGCTGCAAGAGAGAGGGAGAGAGTGAGAGTGAGTCTGTGAGAGAGAGTGTGTGTGAGGCGTTTCCATGGCAACCTGTCAGGGGTGTGTTTGGTCCCTGGAGACGGTGAGGAAAGGAGGGGAGGAGAGAGATGAGAAGCGAGGAGAAAACTATCCCTCGTTAAGGGTGAGAGGGGGATGGGAAAGGAGATAATGGAGGGAAGAGGGGAAGGCGGGTTTGTCTCCCCCACCTCCTATTGTTTGCTTTTCCTCCTTTCCCGTGTTTTGCTCTCCCTCCTGGGCTTCCTCTTCTTCTTCCTCACGCCACCTTCTCTGTTCATTTGGAAGTAACTGGCAGGGCTCGTCATGCCTGCGTTTGTGTCATATGGGAGGGCTTTCACGGTTATCATCAAGTGCGTGAGAGTGTTTCAACTCGTTCTGCCTCCTGATGGATTTCTTTTGACTTTGATTGCACTTTCTTTTCTTTGAACGCTTCCTTGATGTGTCTTCAGTGAGTCACGCTAACCCTGACCAAAATCTTGACCTCCGCAGCCTTCGTTGGTCAAGTTCAGAGCCCTGCTTTTATCACTCCTCTTGATGAGCTAACTAATGAGTTAACATCCCACCCATGTGGCTGCGCACCAACCAGCTGGTTGCTTCTTGGCACTTCTATTTCCGTCAGATGGTGCCAATAATGTGGAGAAGCAATGCCAGTGTTTGGGCTTTATCTGCTGAGTGTTTAGCTCTGTTTACTTCTACTGATTACCTTCATTGGTATTGCTAGGACGTCCATGATCGGTGGCTTTTAGCTTTGACTCAACAGGCACAATACAGCGCACATCTGGACACAACCACCCACCCACAGTAAATTAACATTTAAAAAAATCACTGATGCCGAATGTAAGAATGAAGCCATGCACATTAAAGCTCTGGAACTGATGATGTAAAATATCTCCTTAATCCTTATTGTAAAAGGACAAATGCCACATGTTGCAGCAACAAGTGTGACCTAGAGATCCAGATTCTTAGACAGAAGTTAAGCATGTTACGCCTTCATGAATTCAAATTGTTTATAGTCCTGTGAAATGTATGCATAAGGAGAACATATACATTAACTTGTACCTGTCTTTCCAATGCAGTGTGAGAGCAGGATGAGGTAACATAATGGAGGCTGAGAAATGCAAGGTGAGTTGCACTGATAGGGAACTGATAAGATTTTATTGAGGCCAATACCATTATTGCTTCTGCTTATCGGTCCAAGTCTTTATCGAGTCTTTATCGAATGATTCCTGATCAATTTTCTGTGTGGAAAAAAGTAGGCGTGCACAGGTTTTTAGCGCCAACCCAGCTGTATATCATCTCTGAGTACGAGTGCAGTGTGAAACGAGAGGATACACAGCATTTGTTTTCCTTCAGGCCTGATGGCATGACATTGATGTTAAATGTCCTCGTGCTGAATGGTTTGAAAGCAGTGGTGTGTAAAATACACATCATTCCTGGAATTTAAATGAACAGTGTGTAAGATTTATGGGAATTTGGTGGCATCTAGTGGTGAGGATTGCAAATTGACACCAGCTGAAACGTCTCCTGGTTAGAATTCCTACAGTGTTAATTGCTCAGGTTTTTACTGGGAGCTGAATTATCCGCGGAGGTCTCCTCCTCTCTAGAACACAAAGGAACACGGTGATTTAAACTGGTAAAATCACTGAATAAAGCAGTGTCATGTTAGAAATGTTTTTCCTATGCTGTTTGGCAGATTATAGATGGGCCACTAGCCCAGCACCTGCTGATGTGAACTCACCTCTTTTCTGATCCAGGAGGTTTTTACCAAGAGCCGAATTATCGGCAGAGGTCTCCTCCTCTCTGAAACAAACGAGCCTGGTGATTTCAACACATTGTCACTGTGACCACGTCACGTATTGACATTTGGTCATGGATTTTTTTCAAGTCCAGATACGACATGCAAGGTACCCTGGGTGCATTGGTTACTGACGTTCTGGGACAGTCAAGTTCTGCCTGTTTCAAATTACACTTTCACAGAAAATTTACTGTTGACATAGAGTCTCTTTCAAAACAAACACACCACGTCGGTACAACACTGCAGATTGACATTTTTTTTGCTCAACAACTAACGCACTTAGTTGGGTTTAGGCAACAAAAACACGTGGTTGGATATGTGGTTGGGTTTAGGAAAAAAGTATAATCTAATGGGACGCAAAAACTGCTCTCCTGGGTGAAAGTCAGTGTTTGTTGGACCCATCCACCACCCCTCATGCCCACCCTACTCAAACTTTCGACACCTTAACTTGTTCTTGTCCCGTCGCCTGGTGAACATGGCGATCTCCGTAGATTAGGACCTGCTCCCTATGTAGATATAAATGGCTCATTCTAAGGTAATGAAAACATGATTTTTATTTTCAGGTCATTATACACTAAAAAAAACATAATCCATTGCTGCTGACATATCCCCCTACATCCTACACACTGAACCTTTAAGCCCATGCTGTGTGGAAAGATGCTTCACTGTATTGCTGCTGTTTCCAACCTTATTTGAAATTACACTGTTGTCATGCCATATGTTGGACTGTGTCTTCCCCTCTGCCGTGACTTCTTTCTTGCAAGTTTCATTAGCGACACACAAGTTGTACATCATTGTTTTGCAGAGCACAACTGCTAGGAAAAACTGGAACTGATTAGTTGGGAGGCATACGGTTCTGATGGATCAGACAATTTGGAACCAGGTCTCAACTGGAACCGGTTCTTAGCACTGACATATTGCTGAGGCCAAAGCAGTAGTCCACTGTGTTTAAGCGCAGCTGCTCCCAGATAATTTTAGTAAGAGTTAATGATCAGCTGTCAGTCACCCAGTGCCTGTTTTACTGTGCTTGCTAAAGTAAGATTGGCATTAATCAGCTAAATTAGAAAGTCAAATTATTTGTATCCAGACAAATTAGAGCTGTGTGTTATTTTTTTATTTTTTTTTTATCTCTTACACCCCCGTTCTGCTATTAGTGCACGCATTTAAGTCATTGTTCTGCAATCAACCTTCATAACCACAATAAAACAACAGCTGGCTGCTGAACAGCACCATTATTAATGCAAGGACTTGGCAAATTTACACACACAACTTTAATTGCTTTAATAATGATCCTTTTTTCTACACCATAATATCCCAGATGTTGGAGCCTCCCTCCAGCACATGAACATACTAATAAAACTGCACTAGACCAACAATATGACACACTTTTAATCGCATTACTGGAATGATCAGTGTTGGGATTGTCACTCAAAAAAAGAATTGTATTGTTACTTTCAAAAAACTAATGGATTACTGTACTTAATTACTCACAGTACAAAGTAGTTTGTTACACTACTTGTTACATTACTTTTGTGTTACTCGGCAACATCACTGCACGTAATTGCCACTTTACACTGTACATATGCCCACGTATCAGCGCAAATACCTGTCCTAATAAGGAAGAACCCCATTAGATGGCTTCATGACAGACTAGCCAGCCTTATCCAACATGTTTATCACTTAAGCGGTGATTATACCTCATGACGAAGAGTCTCTCAAATCATTTGTCAGACAACACGATCCCCCACGGAGTCAGCACGAGGCTGCCCAGGCACAGGGCCTCTCCACAGGCACGCTGGGCGGTATCACTGTTGTCGGCAGACTCGGCACATTAGATTTTTTTGTTTTCTATCCACCCATTCTTATTTATTTAATGCAAGTAACAGCATAATTGTTTGATTTGTAAACTATATTTGATTACTGAATTTAGGACCAGTAATGCATTACATTATTGCGTTACAGACAAATTTAATGTTGACAACAACTAACATCAAAGAACTAGTTGCGACAAAGGCTAACTGTCACTCTGCCTCATGCCACTGTCTTGGCTTGAAAGTTGCACTTGAACACATCGAAAAGACTACATCCAACAGCCAACGAGCGTGTACATTCTGTGACTGCATGAGAGGAAATAACTCTTTATGTATTCGTCATTAAAAAATAGAATCTGGTTTTGGGTTGAATAAGCTATTTAGCCAGTTTGCACATTAACAATACAACCCGATGTTGAATGAATTTTTCGTTCACTGAGTTGAATAGCTAATCATTACTATTATTATTATTTTACTCATGGATGGGCTCCACTGGCTCCAACGCTGATTCAACAGGCGGAGTCAACCGAAAAACACCATACATGGCCGACTAATGCCAATGGTAAGGGACACAGCACAAAAACTAGGGCAACAGACGCTTACCGATGGCCTGACATTGACAGACAGCCAACTGTTGGCTTGGTATGTCAGGGCCACAGACTGTAAAAATAATGGGCATAGCCACTATGACATAACCTATAGGTTTGTGCAATAGTTTTTGAAGCCTTGAGTTTAGCATTTTGACTGTCACCACCTTGTTTTTTTTGGAGCCAGATGTGACCCTATCTGCACGCAGCCTGTCACCTAAAGCAGCCCGCCCTTAATTATGCATAACTTTAAGACTTTATAAAATGTTAACCGGTAAGTTATATAAAAATTCACTTCCCATACAGTTGATATAAAGGGAGAAATTAGCTATAGAGAGCAAAACCAATTTGTGCACCAGGCTGTAAACATGTTTATCTCTGCTGTAAATTTGGGCATTTTAATATTGGGGTCTATGGGAAGCGACTGGCTTCTGGACCCAGAT